GGAATTCGAACCCCTGATCCCAGTGTTCGAGAGAAAGAAAACAGTTCATGCCTTAGACCGCGCGGCCAATGAGTCGGCAGAGGTGTGTATAATGGTATAAATGAATTTACGAAGGGTTACCAACGCATAGCTTGGTGAAATATGGTAACGGCTATTTGTTTACCCTTTTCCACATTATATGTAACTGGTGGAAGAACTGCTTATGTCAGCTATTGAATGTACATGAGGATTAATTGAAGTACATGCTATTGGCCATTAGCACCTGAACATAGTCCTCTTGGTGCTAAGATTGCTACTGGAAAGTGGAATTGATCAAAGTACTGCAGAAATTAACCAAGCAGGATGTTTATGGTTTCAGGAAAATGGGGAATTTCTTAAGTAACCGAGAGAATATTATCTTCTGAAGGAGGAGCCTCTTTCATGGAGCCAGCTGGATGTAAGTGCTAGTCTTCTAAACAGTTCTAAGTTATTCGTCGTGTTTTACAGAATGGAACGTATTCTTATGGCATACAGAATCCACGTTGAAGAAAACAGTCTTCTGGGATGTGGCGCCGTGAAAACCTCAAATCTTACAGAATCCACGTTGCTTGACAGAAGATTCAAAATGGGCGCAGCAAAAGATCAGCTTTCTTTAGTAATTACGATGCAAGCCATACAATGTTAAGACTGCGATAGAATGTTCGCATATATAGCAACTTGTCAGTTGCAGTCATTTTGCGTTTCTGAGGGAGCAGAATTCCTTGTAGAAATAAATCAGTACGGTCGAGACCAGTAGCACGAGTTGTATTAAAACCTACCATTTGTCTTTATTTGGGATCCTAAAATTCACCACTCCTAAAGCGAGCGTTTCTAACATATTCCTTATTCTGAAGTTAATTTATGAACCAATATACCAAAAAAATAATAGTAACGGAGCGTTATTACGATCACTCATCGACCAGTTTGCCTGGAATAAACTTTCACCGTTGATTACGGACGCGACGGCGATTTGGAAGTTGGAAGTTGCGCTTTCACCAGGTTCAGTGTTTCCATGGCATTTATGAGAGGAAAACTAGTATAGGAAAGCAGGACCTAATTAATATTGTCGTCTTCTGGATTATACATAAAAACATAACAATTAGATTATACAAAACTTTAATTTTGCCTGTGGTTCCGAATGGGTGTGAAACTTGGTCTCTGACATTAAGGGAGGAACATAGACTTAGGGTGTAAGATTTGAGGCTTTCACGGCGGTGACTATGAAGAAAGCAGTCTTCTGGGATTTGGCACCGTGTATATGTGGTGTTAACCGACGTTTCGGAGGAACGTATCGCAGACTCTGCTTTTACCGTTCTCACGGTCTTGTCGCTTGCAGATTTCTTATACTTTTTCTTCTACCCTGAAGATGGAGGCGATACGTTCCTCCGAAACGTCGGTTAACACCACATATACACGGTGCCAAATCCCAGAAGACTGCTTTCTTCATAGACTTAGGGTGTTTGAGAGCAGGTTGTTGAGGAGAATATTTGGACCGAAGAGAGATGAAGTGACGAGAGGTTGGAGAAAACTGCATAATGAGGAGCTTCATACTTGTACTCTTCTCCAAGTATAATTAGAATGATAAAGTCAAGGAGGATGAGAATAGCAGAGCATGTAGCACGAATGAGGAGAAGAGGAATTAATATGATATTGGTGGGAAAGCCAGATGGAAAGAGATCACTGGGAAGACCAAGGAGCAGGTAGGGGAAAACAGTAAAATGGATCTTAGAGAGATAGGATGGTATGGATTGGATTGATCTGGCTCAGGATAGGGAGCCGTGGAGGGCTCTTGTGAACACGGTGATAAACCTTCGGATTCCATAAAATGTTGGGAAATTCTTGAGTAGCTGAAGAATTGGCTTCTCCTTAAGAAGGGCTCAGCTCCATAAGTAAGTAAGTCTTCTGGATTATAGTGCCGTTGAGTTTGGTAGGAGGATGTCAAAATTTCGGTTGATCATATAGCTTCCATTTTAAGGATAACAGCTGTACCTTGAAGGTGAAGGCGGTATGTCCCTCCGAAACGTTGAAACACATCTACCAAACTAAATGCCATAATCCACAAGACCATGAGTCATCACCGCCGTGATAACCTCCAATGTCATACAAGAACGTAATTAATGGATACGGCCTCCTCAAATAACTTAGAAAGTCGGTATTTGCAAGGAGAATTATGGGCCTAGTCTTCATAATATTCAGTTAATGCATCTTCATGACACATTTAAGGTAAAAAAAGGTAAAGTTGTCCCTGTGCTTAACTAATTAAGCACTACGCCATGAAAGCGTAAAGGGGAGTGGATGTATAGATCCACATTTTCTTGTACCTAGGCACTACCTGGAGGTGAGTGGTCAGCTTTACGCCCCTGCCACTTTACCTCCGGGAAAGAGCCCCCAGTACCCATTGGATAGGAGGTTGGGTGGACCCCAGAGCCGGTATGGAGGACTTGGAGAAGAGAAAATTCTTGACCCTACCGGGACTTGAACTGGGGACTCCTCGGTCGTCCAGCCCATAGCGAGTCGCTATACCGGCTCCATGACACATTTAAGGAAAGAGGAAGTACTCGTATTTAGTCAGAACTTATCGTAAGATGGAGTTTCCTATGGGTTTGGATCCCGCTGTGTAACTCCTAACATCATGTGACCATTACGAATAATTCCTTCCAGACCAGCTCAGGGGCCCACCGATTCAGGTATGCAATAGGAGGCTTTTTCTCCGGTAGCAAATTGGCCGGGGAATAAAACCGAGCATTCCCCTCCATCTAGTATCAAGGTTAAGAGTGACTAAGCTGTACTTTCACTCTTCCATACGTCTTCACAGCTCGGTGCTTACTTAGTACAGGGATAACTTTGCCTTTACTTTGTCTTTATTTGTGTGATTATTACCTCACAATTTTTCATAGCGGCCTCGATTTTATTTGATGAATGAAAATTAAATAATGTAAAAATGTGAAAGCTTCTAATGTCCGTGCAAAGTGTCAGCATAATCTATCATTTAACTAACTCCTTCTTGAGAAGCGAGTAGTCACGTAGCAGGTCGAGCCATGTATGAAACCAGGAGATTCGTTGTCATGTTCACAAGAGCCTGTCATGGTCGTTTCTCTTCAGCTAGATGAATCGAGTCCACACCCTAATATCCTGTAGCTTTCAGATCAATTTTAATATTATCCTGCAATCTAGCTGAGCCGGGATAGTGTAGTCGATATAGCGACTCGCTACGGATTGGACGACCGAGGGGTAGGAGTTCAAGTCCCGGTAGAGTCAAGAATTATCTCTTCTCCATGTCGTTAGACCGGCTCTTAGGTCCACCCAACCTCCTACCCAATGGGTACCGGGGGCTTTTTCCCCGGGGGGGGGGGCAAAGCGGCTGAGGCGTGATGCTGATCACTCACCTCCAGGTAGTGCCGAGATCAAGAAAATGTGGATCTATAGATCTACTACCTCTACACCTTCATGGCGTAGTGCTTAATTAGTTAAGCACAGGGACAACTTTACCTTTATCTGCTCTCTAGGCATAGGTCTCTACAGTGCTCTGTTCCATGCCTACTATAGTCTCTACATATCTCATCATCCTTCATCTGATGATCACAATGACCTGTGATGAAGAGCACAAATTACGAATCTCCTCATTATGTAGTTTCCACCAGGTTCCTTTACTACCTATAATACAGGCCTAGGCGTTCGATAGTTGAATTAGGTGACACATGAACAACTCACTTGCACTTTCCGTACAGTCTCCAGAACAGAGAACTCATTCCGCTATCTACCATGGCCCGTCAGCGCTCACTGATCTGTTTCTACAAAACCGTTGACTTGCGAAACCAATTTACTTCTGCAAAATGTCATTGATCTTCGTTCGGATACAAAATATTTGGTATTTTGTTTAAGAAATGATCCACTAAATACACGATAGACCTATTTATAAACTTACTTAAAGCTACGAAAGTACTATTTTGCCATATTATTATTTAAAATGCTTATCATGGAAGGAGTAAAAATAAATGGAGAAATACATCAGCAACTTGATGTAGGAACATATTTCACGAAGCTGTGAACTAGTAAGTAAGTAAGTAAAAGTAAAGTAAAGCAAAGCTATCCCTGTAACAGGCCGCGAAAGCCCATAGGGTTGTGAGACGTTGAGGGTCCCACATTTTCTAGACAATCGGCTCACAGATGGAGGTAAGTTTGTCAGCCTTACGCGCCGGCCGCGCTTTACTCCCCAGGAAAATTAAATTAATTAATTCTTGGTACTCATTACTGCTAGAGGCTGAGTCGACCCCAAGGCCATAGTGCGGCCGGAAGGATTAGGTCAATTGAAAGAAAAATCCAATGACCTCATCGGGACTTGAACCCGCGACCTCCGACATGTAAGATAGCCCCTCAACCAACTACGTTACCTCGTGCCCCGTTCTGAACTAGTACCGCCAAAAATGGAAGGAACGTATGCAACGAATATATCCATATTCTACATCTAGAGCAGTCTAGCACGAGATGGTAGGATCTGCAAGCAAAGTCACTACCAAACTTGAGGTGAAGTTAGGTTTATTGAGTTTGTTTAATATGTTGACATTTGTGTGTATCAGAGCACTCAGTCAACTTCAAAGACATCAATTAATCAATCAATCAATCAATCAGTCAGTCAGACTTGATGCCTAATAAAACCAGACACATCGAGATGGTAGTCGAAGTGAAGGTTCAAATACGTAGCACTTGTGGTGCGTATTTGAGGTCCCAAGTTCGATTCTCAGTCCGGATACCGGTTGTCGTGACGTTCTTCAATTTATTCCTCGGCCCCTCTAAGACATTGCTGGGTTAACATCTTCAGGCAGTCCTTGACTGCTTTCTTTCAAATCACCATTTGACACTATGTTACCAATTTAGTTGGAAAATCAGGTAGAATAAAACAAATCAAATCAACAGTCAATAAAGGAGAGAACCGTTTCTAAAACTACAGAGATCTGCTAAATTATCCTTGGGAAAGTACTAACCTGAGATCCGCGGTTTCCTGTCCATTTGGCGACTTCCATTTTTATTGCTTTTCTTGATCTCTGATATGACACGAGGTTTATCAAGGGCCGGCATAGCATGCTCGTGCCTGGGCGCTACCACCAACATTTTCACCACTCACACATGTCCCTTCCAAAACTAAACGCAGAAAATCAAAATTCCTTAATGCCGGTTCTGCGAAAGAACTGAGGTGTCTATAAGGTTACTTTCCTTTAACACGTGTTAGTGGAACTTGCTCGCTTCGCATTCCACTCGCCGTCTAACCACAACCATATCTACTCTTAGACTGGCAAGCAGTAACCACAGTTACACTCGCTTGCTCTGTTGTGTTACTACACTCTTGTAAGTGATTGATGGTGGGGAGATATAGAGCCTAAACAGAGAGCAGGCCACGCAAAACGACGTGTAATACTTTACAACAGTTGGTCGCATCATTAGAAACTCTCGATTAAGGCAGGCTCTATCGAATCATACTCGATTTTTGATCGATCACAATGGATGCAAGATCTTATACCTCATCAACTCCGGGATCAGTGATTTGAATTTCATTATATGGATATGTTGCATTTTTACGATTTAGTTCATTCATCAGTAATCTGTCAGACGACAGGTCCTCAGTCTCTTCCAAAACAATTCCTCCACTTAATGTGATCTAGAGCTTTCTCCTTCAAATGAGAGTATCCTCTTCTGTCCCCATCTCGCATACATGGTATCTCTGTTTTTGGAAAGAGACTATCCAGGAAAAGTGATAATGTGGTAGTTTTTCCATTTGCTTTCCACATCGCAGTACAACAGCCATTCAAACCACTCTGGTCACACCTGTTGTTGCTGTTCATATAACTAAATCGTGCTTCAAGCCAGAGTCATCACTTGAAGCACGATTTAGTTATATGAAATAAATAAAAAAAAAACAACTGAATAAGGAGGAAAATGTGTCAGTCCTTTCAATTCCATGTTCCACCTCTGAAATTAATGAAATTGCTTCGATTAAATTTGATACTGGGAGATCTACATCAGAATTTGTAGTAGAGTTTTTATTTTTCATTTTTGTGTTTTGTATCTACACAATATAATCTCAACATAAAGCTAGAAACCGAGCAAGTTCCTATTGTTTTGAAGTAAAACCTGAAACTTCTATGTTTTCAGATTATGTATACTATCTCCATTGGATAGGATTGTGATAAGAATAGACCACCAACGAAATACAGGCATCAGAAGAAAACAGAACACTAAATGTCAAATGCTATCATTGAAATTGAACACGACCAACATTTTTACGATACCAATAAAAATATTTGTATTGTTTGCATCTGGTTGTGTATTACTATATAATACTCTATAATCAAAGAATATTAATATAGCATTTGATGTATTTACTACGAATTTGGTGTGTTGATATTCCTGTAATACTACACCGAAAGAAATGTCAGCAATACATATACGGAATTAAGTCAAATATAACACAGAAGCATCCACTGAATACGAAAAACAGAGATCGTGAACTCTCGCAGTGAAGATGAAAAGACCGACTACACATACAGAGTTTAAGAACAGATAATTAAGCCTGATTCAGCCTCTAACAGAAACGAGTAAGAGAGAGAGAAAAAAGTAAAGATATCCCCGTAACAGGCCCTGAAGGCCCACAGGGTTGTGAGACGTTGAGGGTCCCGCATTATCTAGACAATCGGCTCAAAGATGGCGGTAAGTTTATCAGCCTTAAGCGGCCACGCTTTTCTTCCCAGGAAAATTATTTGATTAATTCCTGATACTCATTTCTGTTAGAGGCTGAGTTGACCCCAGGGCCATAGTGCGGCTGGAAGGATTATGTCAATTGAAAAGAATCCAATGACCTCATCGGGACTTGCACCCGCGACCTTCCGGCTTATAGCATAGTGCCTCAACCAACTATGCTACCGCGTGCCCCCAACAGAAATGAGTAGCAGGAATTAATTAAATAATTTTCCTGGGGAGTAAAGCGTGGTTGCTTAAGGCTGATAACCTTACCCCCATCTTTGAGCCGATTGTCTAGATAATGCGGGACCCTCAATGTCTCACAACCCTGTGGGCCTTCACGGCCTGGTACGGGGATAGCTTTACTTTTTTACTTTTACTTTTATCTGATTATCTGTACTTACGTAAATATAATTTGGAGTGCGGTTGAGAACAGAGTGTTGACCTAGACCGAAGATGATAAGAAGAGGACGAAGGAAAGTACATAATGAAGAACTTCATAATTTGTACTTCACATCCTTCTGTCGGTCTGACAAATCGTGGAATCTGGACTCTCATTAATTTTCACTTCCATCGTTTATCTCATGACTGTGCACATTACAACCTATGGAGTCATCCCATCTGTCGACTTTTAATCATTTCAAGTTTCACGTACAGCTGGAGGATAGACATGGCCACCTCTTTAAAACATCAAGTAACTTCCGTTTCCTTTATTGTTGATAAAAGCACTAAGTAATTTTTTAGAATTGGCCGACTTCAATTGAATGCGACCCAGATCTGGTAGGGACCACTGAGAAGGAAAGAGGGAGGCTTGTGGCGGTCAGTGTTTAAATTCTGATTTTCGGGTTTGTGACAACGCGGCTTTGATTCCCGACGAGGTTTTGGATTTTTCAATTATCATAATCCTTCCAGCCCTGGGATCGACTCAGCCTCTAACAAAAATGAGTACCAGGAATCTTCCTGGGTTAAAGCGCGGCCGGCGCTAAGGCTGATAACCTTACCGCCATCTGTGTGCCGATTGTCTAGAAAATGCGGAAGCCTCGACGTCTCACAACCCTATGGGCCTCCACGGCCTATTACAAGGAAAGCTTTACCGTTTGCTGGGCTAGTTCCATCCATTCACGGTTCTCACCTCTCCAGTTCTGTAAGCATTTGTTGTTTCTCATTGTTGCCTCTAGTGTTTCTCTATTAGATCACTGTTTTATGAATATCTGTGATAATGGTTGTTTCATTATAACTCAATAATACAGTATTATGCCGGTCACGGTAGTCGAGCGGTCTAAGGCATGCACTGTCTTCGCTTGCTCTTAAGCCGGGACCATGGGTCTGAATCCCACTAATGGCACGGATGTTTAGTGTTTTTGTGCATATGTGCGTTTTTCTGTGTTTGTGTACAGGTAGAGGCCTTGCGACGAGCTGATCACCAGCCCAAGGAGTCCTACCGAATGTAAATCTAGTAAACCGAAGTGAACCGGAGAGTTTCATGGAGACAGGCCAAGGCCCAAATGGGGCTGTAGCGCCAAAGGAAAATAAAATGTAGCATTATATTGGGCACTGCCGATTGTCTGTTGGTATCTGATATTACTTAACGTCTCTGGTGTTGAACCTACTCCCGTTTGGTTATGGCAAGAAATTTGTTGTTTATATTTTCTCAGTGACAGATATTAGTGACGATATTTGGGATCGAACCTGCATCCTGTTGAGCTCCAGACTAGTACCCTAGTACACTAATGGATTTATTTATGTATTTGTGGCTCATCTAACGCTGCTGTTAACACATAATGAAGTAACAATGATTCACGGCCGCCTCATAGCTCAAGCGGTTAGTCGCTGGCTTCTCTTTGCTCCGGCCCGGGTTCGATCCCGGGTCTGGTCAAGTGGGATTTGTGGTGGACAAAGTGGCGCTGGGGCAGGTTTTCTCCGAGTACTTCGGTTTCCTCTGCCATTCTTCATTCCACCAATTGCTCCACAATCACCCTCACCTATCATCTGGGGCTGATACAATAGGCCAGAAATGGCAGCAGTACAAGGGACTTAGTCCCACCCCACTAGCAATAAAGAAAAAAACATGATTCAACGCGACAGCTGTCTATTACATGTTGCATATGAAACAAATTCTAATTAAAATGGTTTGTTTTCTGAAGAAATTCCATTCGTTTTCAAGTTCGTGGACCTAGATTCAAGCTATTAAGGCCAACTAGTAATGACAGTGAGCAGAGTGAAATCATTGCGAGAGGAGAGAAGATTCGCTGGTCCACTTAACTGGTGCAGATGGTGATGGCCACGCCACATTCTCACAAAACGCAATATATCGCCTCCAGAAACAGACACGTGGTCGCTCCGTTTGAGCTTTAACTACATCCCGTCACACAGTCTGTCTGGAGACCCCGATAGTCGCTCACTTTTTCTTATGATTTAACATCAAAAAGTACTGTTTCATATTCTTCGTGCTCCAGTTCCAAAACTTGGCCCTGAGAACTGGTATCATAACTGATATAGTTCCTAGCTTTAGTCAGTACTTCCAAGCAAGCGCTGATAATGTACTTTGCGATAGGCCACGATCTGTCCCCTTTTAGATCTTCCGAATTCATCATTCACACATATCCGATCATTCTACTATTCAAGTGATGAATTTCAGTAATCACAGAAAAATAAATAAGCCTATTCATACAGTTACAGGTACAAATAATAAAGCTACAGCAGGGAAACCGGCGTTTAAAGACCGGTTATATCAAAGTGCGTCATCGGAGACGATCTTGAGCCAGTTCTGTCCAACTATGTATAATCCTCACAACCTACACCTCTCCCTCAGTCTTCTATGGACATGTTTCCCAAGAAGTTTACCACCAGCAATCCTGTATGTGTTCCAGACGTCATCAGCATAAACATGTTCATACATAAACACATACATATAAAATTATGCAGAATTGTCGTACACTTAACTGAAAAGAGAATATAAATTTTTCTAGTGTAATTCTGCTCCAGTTGTCGATAGGTACTGATATTTTCGTTTCTCGTTGATATGCCTGTGTTCAGAATCCATTCATATAAGGAACCTTATTCATCGTTGAATTAGAGGAACTGTGTCAGATCAGAATCGAAAATTTATCTCCTTGTCGCTTTCAATTAAAGCACTAGTGCATAGTTTTATCCATATAACGATTTTTATTTATGTAGATTTCAACTGATATTTTATCACATTAAGTGGGGCAGATCTTCGTGGCCTGTAGTCCGCAAGCTAACTGTACCGACTGAGCGACCGCCGCTTGGCAGCAAAGTTAGTTCCAATTTTTGCGAATGCGTATTGTCGCGTGGTCAGCGCAACGGATCCACAAGGCCGTTAATCTCGGTTTTCAAGACCGGAGCCGCTTTTTCCTTGAAATGGCTCATCACGAGGCTGAGTGGACCCCATTCCAGACCCACTACTTGTCAGAAAAACTGCGACTGCTGGGAATCGAACCCGGGACCTCTGGATTTGTGGCCAGGAATTCTGCACCCCCATTAAGAGGGGCAGGGCGTTTCTAATTTTGTTACGTTAGGGGAACAAGGGGTTGGTGTCAGTCTTGTCTCTTGATTCACATATTCAGAGCTCATATTCCTTGAAGTGGGAGATTCAAGGGAGAGCATCAATCCTTATTTCCCACTGCGCCGCAGCACCCCATTTCTGACCGAGCTAATTAAAACCAGGAACTAGGTGAGGAAGGAAGAATTCTGGTTTATGTAAGTTCTTGTTTGTGAACATGCTATTCTGTGAACTAGTATGTTACCCAAGGAATTTGACCGGAGCATGAAATTCCGTCTAGAAAGTTACGAGTCGTTCATGGTCGCGCGGTCCCGAGCAGGAAAAGAAAAATATAATCCTTGCTTATTCGTACAGAAAAATTAAGAACATTTCATTGTATTGAATTTACAGTTCATGACCAGACATTGTTAAGGTGACTGAACAAATAATGATGAAGTGGGTGGGACATTCGATATACATTGGGATAAAATAAATGCATGTACAACTGATTCTAAATTATTGTCGGGGTTTACGTTTATAAGCCAAGGAAATACAGACAATAATTTAGAATTACTCTGTAAGAATTTTTGTGGGAAGAATCCTGCAGTGAGGTCAAACATTTGTTAACATTTGTTTTGGGATAAATACGCTTTGAAGTGTGAAATGGAGTTAACTACATCTGGTTAAGATCCAATAACGGTCACCTGTGTTCATGGTAACAATATTTCGTGTTCTACGAAAGTAGGGAATCTCTTGATCGTAGAGTGTGGAACTTATCACGAAGCCCCCTATACGCATTCATGTCATGATGCTTAGCCACAGGGGAAGTTTCATCTACTTACTGCAGAGATTGAGGAAATAATCGAGAAAAACATGAAGTGGAATTCGAGCCAAAGCAGCGGGAATTATAAGCAATACGTCGAAGCATTTCCTTCACGCGGTAGTGCGAGACGAATTCCTTTATAAGTTCGTGCAAGCCAGTAGCTTAGTGTCTGCTCCAATTAACTAGCACCATGGTGTAGAACAGAGGTTATTTTTCTGATCCGAATTTCTCCATTATGGCATTAATAAAAACAGCTAATTCTACGGAACAGAACCTTCTTGGAGAAGCTAATAGACGCTGCCAGTCAGATTTCCAAAGTTTCATAGAACTCGGAGGTTCATTAGCGTGTTCACAAGAGTCACCTATCTTCACCATTACAAAACAAACAAAACAACATCAACGATCTGGAAAATCTGTCATTAAGGTCACTGGTTACTGGATGGACAGCCGGGGTTAGATTCCTGGCAGGGGCAGGGATTCTGTTTTTGTCGCCAAATTCTGACCGTCCTTGGGATCCACCCACTCTCTTATCGAACTGGAGTGGAGATGTTTCCCCGGGCCGATTATAGAGTGCTGTTAAAACGTAGGGCTTAACATTCTTAAAATGAGACGAATCACCCATTTCCACCTAAATCACATGGGGCTCTACCCTCACTCTCTTACATATGCTTCCACTGTATTGCTTGAACACAGAGATAAGTGTGAAAACAAAGCATCATGGCACCTGAGCAGAGAAGGTGCCTGGCACTTCGCTTTCCATTTCAGCGTGCCTGAGGTATGTAATGTGAAGTCTTAACACTTCCTGAATTATTGTCAAAGTTACATCTTTAGAAAGCCAGACTGTTCATTTATAAGGACAGGCATATGCACCGTATGCAGTATTGAGCTCGTGTTGTAGAAATCATGGCGGAAGTGAAACATTTCGAGCTCTTGTAATTGACAATAATAATACGGAAATATTCTTAGCAGTCGCGGTACTTTCTTTTATCTACCATTTTGATGTTTCTCAGGTCTAGTTACTCTTACATTTCTGACACTTTCCACGCGAAGACACGGGCGTGGAAATATTTCGAGTTCGTCGCCATTATGGTACACACAACCGTGTTATACGAACCTTATGTACAACATGAATTTTGTGATCTGGTAGGTCAGGTCTAAAACGTTAGGCGCTGAAACACGTCATAACATGGGTGATACTGACAAAACCTTGAGAATTGCACATAGCGTATTTCCACTTTCTTAAGAATGATCATTTATAGGTAAAACATAGAAACTTAGGTGGGCTGGACATGCAGAGAGACAGTGTATCATATTTTTGTCATAGGTTTAGTCCTAATCTGTGGCCAGATAGAGGGTGGATTTCGGTCTTTCTTAGTGACAGGTAACATTTTTCCCACTAATAAACCAGGCTTTCTTTCATGTCAAGGAAATTAATTATAGTGGTAAGCATACATATCAGGAGGTGGTTCATTAGGGTCTTTACACAGATAGACAGACAGATTCGTACACACAGAACAACACAAACACAGAATAAACTCACACAGCCACCCATCCCTTGAGAGGAATTCGAAACCATGACCCCAGCGTTCGAGCGAGCGAAGTCTATTCATGCCTTTGACTGCGGCCACTCTGATCAGCATTCATTAACATCACCAACACCAATGCTATATAACCCGATACTGACAGCATTGTTAAGTAACAAACGTAGGTATACAAATTGTGTGTGTATGTATGTGTGTACGTATGGATGTACTTTTGAGTGAACCTGTGATGTTGGGCAAAACAATACCTTCTATTGATAATTCAGTGTATTCTCAATTATTGACTCTAGAACAGGAGTTAAAAGCCTACTGGCCATGATTTATTATAAGATCAATAACTCAACTGGCTCAGATGAGCTAGTCAAGAAATTCCCTGCACTTTATGGCACCCAAAAGTTCTTGACAATGCTCACAAAAGTCTGCTACTGGCCCCTGTGCTGATCCTGATTAATGCAGCCAGCATTCCTATATCCTATTCCCGCAAAAACCATTTTAATATTTTCCATCCATGCCTAAGCCTCCGTGATTGTCTCTTACCTTCTGGCTTTTCAACAAAATATTACACACATCCCTCAGAGCTCACTTGCATACTACGTGTCCTTTCCATCCCACTCTCCTTCATTTTAACACCCTAATAAGCAACTAGTAAAGGGTAGGTTGTTCCTAATTAAATAATTTTCCAGATGCTGTAACTAAAACTAAATTGCAAGCCATGCTTCTATTTTTTGAATCAACACCTGGTGAAGTTGCCTCTGCTATTCATGCCACCTTGAAGTTAGGGTACAGGCACATTGACATACCCTTCATGTATCAGAATGAAATGGATATTGGGAGTACGCTGAAGAAATGGGTTGACCCTTGCTTACTCAAGAGTGGGGATGTCTTCATTGTGACAAAGGTTGCACTCGCATAGAAACAATTCTTTGCAGAACCATTATGCCCTTGTAAGGTTCAGATTTTAACCTGTTCTATATTTCCACTCATTGCTTCTTCTTTCTCACACAGAATATCCCAAAATTTATGCTTTCTGCCATTACAAATTATATTGCATAATTTGTTCTCTGATATCTGAAATATATGATTTCCCCATTTATCTTGATATTTCATTTTATTTACCTTGAAAGCTTATCTTAAACTTCTATGCCCTTCTCTGCACCTCAGAGTTACTTCTTTCATTCAATGCTGAAGTCTCATTTGTACCAAATTAGTTGATTCTTCAACTGTTTGTAAGGTCACAGCACTCACAGACAAAATTTATTTTGATATCAGACAACAGCATACACTCTCCTGCTCATGTGCTGCTGAATTTTGTCAGCTTCTGCACTTAAATTTGTTACAAATTTGGCGAGTAGAGGGGAAAATAATAGAGGGTATAAAAAGGAAACAAAATATAAAATTACTCAAATAGAGACTAATAAGAACAGAACTATTGTAAGAATGCAACTTCAAGGATAACCAAAACTTTTATTAATTCAACTCTTCAGCTTTGTTCAGGCCCTCAAAATATTACTGTGACAGTGTTCATGAATATTGTAAATAACAGCTCTCATAAAGGAGTTTAAGTTAATTTATTTGCTCTCAGTCCAGTCAAGTCCCAAGTCATGATGAAGTCCTGAATAAGAACTGAGGTTGAGATAAGGCCTCTCATACTTCTCTCGGACAGCAACTGATGAGTGCAGGGCACTAGTAAAATACTTATCAGTGCTGGAAAGCCTACCCCAGGACCACTGTGTCCACCAAAAATTCCACATACACTTCCACAGTAAGATGTCAGTGTCTAATTGCCAGAGCTGTGGCACAGCGCTCACATAATTAAAGACAAAATGAACATTGTTCAACAAGGGGAACCATAGAATTTATTTCTTATTCACGTGCATTTAAATAACACAGTACAGCAGGAGGATATACATGTCAATAAATATGTAATGAAGCAATATCAATTAGGGAATACATTCACTTGGAAGAGTGAGAAGTTTGAAGGATAAAATTAATATGCATTTTAAGGATAGGTTTTATAACAGGTGGATGGCTGCATATGTATAGGGACAGGCTTCACTGTCACCAGTGCTGAACCTTCAGACTGTTACCACAGTCTAGTTTGCTATTACCAAGGAAAACAAATTATTACAGATTGAATATCCACCATTCTTCTACATTGCTTTAAGAGCTACCTTGCTATGCTGACACTACACCACAACTTCATATTTTTGTTTCATATCATGATGTTTAAACGAGGTTATTCATTGAGCCACTGTACTGCGCTGGTTCCCTGCACTGCATAGCCAACCATGAATAACTCTGGCTGTTCCTACTTGCAGTAATAACTGATAACAGAGAAATCTGCAGAGTTGATCTAGTAAGGATCTCCAAATGGGAATTCTGGATGTTTAAGCCTGTAAAAGAAGGAATTAAAATCTACAAAAATATCTGACAAATTCATATCATTATAAATAACATTAGTGTTTAACTTACTGTTTGTTTGATTCATATCTGTATTATCTGCAGAAACTGGATGAGTATACTGCAGAATAAAATGATGCTTGCAAGGGACTGAGTCAGAAGTTGTCATGGATTATTTTAAGATAATATATATGAATTTACTAGAGGGATTAAAAATCTACAGTCTGAATCAAAACTGATCTCAGAGGGAAGCATAACTTTGAGCAACTGTGTCTGTGCGAGATTTCCTGGAAATACAACATCTACGTGAAACACTTCTGAAAGAAGAAACATTTCAGTTTTCCTTGTGGACTGCAAAAAGCACAACATTCAGCAGTAACAATTAACTCACATTCTTGAACATTGTACAAAAATTCTCTGCTTATACATTTCAGACTTCAGGATGAATGTAAATATGAAGAAGTACTGAGGTAATATATTCTTAAGTTTAGTTTACTATAGAGTTTCCATAATTTTTTCAAAACCAGGCCTTTCCATTTATCCCATAAAATCTGTGACATTTCATAAAAACAGGACACGATAAAAATTAATAGAAATGCAGAGAATGATACAAAAGGAACTTCTGTTATGGAAGCAAATCAAAATACTACCAACATAAATGGAATAAAAAAGACATAATGCCAACAAATAACTAATAATTTGTGAAATTGTTTTTTGTGGATTAGCCACCAGGAGTGTTAACACCGTTATAGAAACATCAATTGCAGAGAAGAGCATCTGTTACCTAGGAGTTATTGATAGAAATTCATATTACAGAAGAGCACTTGAAGGCGGGACATTATATGAAAAAATGGGACTGTCCCAGGAAAAAATGGGATGAATGGGAACCCAAATTTACTAATAACATGATGTTTGTTTTTGGGGGCTGGATGATACTACTTGAAAACAACTGGGTCATCAAATGTCATTAAAATTACAGTGATAAAATTATTAATATATGTCAGTTACTCATAATGACTAAAACCCCACTTTATAGTATGCTATAAAAATTATATTACAAACTAATAATTTTGACATTACCTAACTCTGACTGGTATTCTCAAAGTATTGAGACATTAAATCTAAATCTTTTGTGCCCTCCACTTCTTGTGTTCACTTCCAGCTAGAGGTACAGGATATTAAAATAGTAAATACACACACTAAATATTTCAAAATTTGAATTTCCTCTAAATCTCAGTTTTTGTTCATTATTTTTCACTATTAAAATACTTCACTCAAAATATGTAAAAGTAAAATTCTGACAATGGTTTTTGTTGTTAACAACGTTTCTGCAAGAAAATATGGAAAACTGAATTCTGTCCAGCAGTAACTAAATAGCTTTGCAGTTCTGTGGGAACAGCAAAAATGTGAGATGAAACACAAAACTCCAGATGTTAGGACAGCATACCACAAAGTAGAGAACTGTCAGCTGGAAGAGATCACTGTAGCTCAAATGGTACAAGCCAAAGAAATGTGCAAGGACTAACTACTGCAGTAAGCTATACACTTCTCACTATCCAGCTCATACACACCTAAACCTGCTTTGTGTTCTCATTTGCTAATGGCACAATACACTAACTTTCCCACATAAATGAAGTCCCCTGTATTGGAACTCTTGTCTATCTGGTGGTTTACTAATCTTCAGAAACTCACCCTCCTAATGCATCCATTAAAAATCTACGCCCAGCATATCGTTTATCCAGCGAATCCAGTTCTTCCACCTCCTCTTTACTCAACTCAAAGTCAAAGACCTGAAGCAGAAATGTCGTTTGTAGGTAAGAATGTGTACATAAATATGTCTTTATATGCAACGTCATGGAAAAAGTCTCTTTCAAGGCACTGGAAAATAGGTCTGGAAACTGCAAAAAGGTTCTAGACATTATGTTTCAAACACGTGACAAAACGTTCAGAATATTAAAGTAATTTAAACAATATTCACACCTATAATATCCTCATGAAGCTGTATTCCTCTGCATATGTCCTATTCATTCAGTGTTTCACCATGACAGCAACAAGGATTCAGTGAGTGAAGTGACATCTTCACTTGTAGGTAAGAGTGAATGAACTTATTTTCTATCCATCTCCCCTCCCTCATATACAACTCTTACATCTATCGCCAAATCAGTGGAGGAAGACACTGTACCATAAACTATGTTCTACAACCATTTATTGAAATTTCTAACTTGGAGTAAAGTTCATCATAGTCTGTAATGCTTCCCAATTCCACTGCTGGTTAGTTTATAAACCCCCGTTATTACCTGGAAGTTCTCCTTGATACGAGCAGCATTCGTACTTTTAGGAATGACTACAATATCTCTTTGCATACAGTGACGTAACAACACTTGTGCTGGAGTCTTCTTATGATGTTCTGCTATTTGACGTACCACAGGATCCGTCAGAGGATCAAACTTAGCACTGCAACAAGTAATATATATAATCCTGCAAGTGGGACATTTTCCTACATATCAATAAACTGAGAACAGGGAAATCTTACTAACATTTCCTATTCTTCAGCTTCTTGCATATTCAGGGCACTACAGTGTTCAAATACGGACTGATTACTGGAAACTGAGGTAAGTGTACAAGGTCTGACAATTTAATTGTTGGAATAGCTGCAGTGTTTTGCTGGGATGTTGAGTCAGACAAACTCATGCAGCTAAGTACATTTGCACATGTTCTGACTAGTATTTACATGTGCCATACACCAATTGAGTACTTCGTTCCCAAGCAGCAGAGGAAGTAGTACATGGCTGTTATATAGTGTTGGGGAGAAATGAGTGAGCAGAGGATAAACATCAATTGTGTGAAGATTGGTAAAAGTGATAGCAAAACGTTATCCCTATAAAGAGTGGCTTATGGTGAATATGCCATGAGGTAACAGAGTGTTTCTGAATGGCATAGGCAGTTCAAGAAAAGTGAGAAGATGTGCAAGATAACTCAAGAAGCAGGCAACCAAAAATGCAAAGGACAGATGCAAATGTGGCTAGAGTACAGACAAATGGTGAATCAAGTGTTATTTGGAAGTGCTGACAAGTTTATGGGAATCTGTTCAGACGAAAAACCCAAACTCTCGCTTGACAAGCAAATTCTTTACCATGACAATGCCCCTGCACATGATGTCTTAAGAGTTTACAAGTTCCTGGCTAAGAAATCCATTACAAAAATGGACCATCTACCTTATTCACCTGACTTAGCCCCATGTGGTTTTTGGCTCTTTCCAAAATTAAAAAATGTCCTGAAGGGACAAAGATTTGCTGACATTCCTGACATCCAACATAATGTGACATTACTGTGAGATATTCCAGAAAACACTTTTCAAGACTGTTTCCAGCAGTGGCACCATCGTCTCACAAAGTGCATAGCTGCACAAGGAGAGTATTTTGAAAGTGATAGCAACTGCTAGTGTATAGTTAAGCAAATTTTACTTTCACAGGGCCCTTCTGGGAATTAAATTGTCGCACCTTATAAATGGCCAGATGCTCTTGCTAATTTCCTACTGTATACCTGGTTGGAATCCCAGCACATTCCATTATAGCAAATTACCTGGTACAGCTATCTGTCACCAGTAGGTCGCAAATGTTTATTCTGGAGTCACAGGTATTTGGTTCGAAAAGAGTCAGAAAGTCAACTCACATGGCCCTTTTACTGTGTCACACATTTGATAGAAATGCATATATTCGCATTATCAAGAGTTCATCCTTCAGAAGGTGACAGCAGTGATTTTGTGACCAATTGTGGCATTTGGGTACCTGTGTCAATTAAGTCCCAAGGTTCTTAAAAATGAAGACTGGAAGAAGGTAGGAAAATTCTAGAGGCAAGAGAGATCTCTGCTGAAAAGCTGGGCATTTTGACCAGATTTTGAACACAGCACATATACAGAAGTGCATGGTGTCATTTCAAATTGAACATCACAGGAAAATAGTAATACAGCATTCAAACAATTTACAGTATTGGAATGTGTAGGTTATTTTTAAAATCTGATTTAATAAAAAGTACTGTTTAATAAAGTATTCATAAGAGGCAGTAAAGAAGATATCTGTGGGTAACTGCCAATGTTTCTGAATTACCTTGCCTCTTGTCTCACCTGTCATGACTACCTTGTTGCCTACTGCACTTACCTTTTGTTCTATATTGTTAATGCACCTACAAATAAAGAGATACTCCTACCATTGAGCAAGCTCAGTAAGAGCTAAAAACAGACACATTCAAGCCATCCAATGATCAAACATCAAGAAGGTGTTCATAAAGATAAAAAGATCAACTAAATCTAATGTGGAAATTTCCAGTTGGTCAGTTACATAAGGAAAGAGAAAACTGAAGAATGGAGCTGAAGTCCATGTCAATTCTGAATTCTGTTTTAACAGCAGGAACTATTGCAACAGCAGGGACCAGAAGCAGAAAGTGTTGCAGGGTTCATCTGGATGAAGAATTGAGGAATCATGTTAGAAAGGCGGGAATTTTCTCACAGGTTGTGACTGGCAGTGTGTTTACCTTTCTGGTAATGCTTGCCCTCTGGCTTTAAAGATAATGGGTAATCCAGGGCTCCCAAGAGGAGCATAAGCACATACTGTGATGTCAAGTGCCCTGCAAAATGCTACCAACTCTCTCTGCTGGAAGTACACATTGAGCTCTACTTGCAGATTTGCAGGCTGTATTCGAGCTGCTTTTACAATGCGGGCAATTTGACGAGAGTTGAAGTTGGAAAGCCCAATAGAACGAGTTCTTCCAGCATCCACTTGTGTCTCCATTGACTGGAAGGTAATGTGCAAAACTGAGTAACCATACCAGAGTATATGCATATATTCCCATAAGTACTTACAAACTAATACTAAGTGAGGAAAGCTTTATTATTAGTTTTGACTTATTCGGCAATACTTTCTCTTACTAAGATTATATAGCATCAAATGATAGAATGGTTACTGAATAATGGATTCAGAAGGACGTGGAACAAAGCCGCTGTGCCCTTAAAATCAATGTATTATCCAAACATTTGCCAGCAGGGGCTTAGGAAAATAGTAAATGCACTCAATCAGAATAGCCAGTCTCCAGGCTGAAATTTAAACCCCATTCTTCGCAGATATGAGGTACGGGTGCTAACCAATCATATGCTGCCCCACCATTAAGCTATTTGTTTAGGAAAGAAAAAAGGCACAAGAATTCACCTGTGTTCAAAAACTTCTTTAATATCAGTAGCATTTGCATTTCAAAGTGCGGGGTAAAGAACATACTTGTTCTTGGACAAGGTGATATCTGCCCTCTGCTCCATTTGCCATGACCACTGTCTACAGTATTTCAGAACAGGATGCAGAGAAAATCATTGGTGAGATGCCTGGTGTCCAGCACTACCTCAGACCTCTTATCCTGAGTTGTTTCTGTGATTTTCCTTGGATTCTTCACACATCATTAGGATAGTATTACCTTTCATTGCCCTATCAAACTCTGCTCGTGTACTTTCTCTCAGGGAGCGATTTCAGCATTACATTCAAAATAAACTGTGGCTCACATTCAGACATATAACACTCGCACATAACCATCATTTACTTAGCACAGTGCACCCGTTCTAACATCAAGGCATACTTATTTTCCCTTTATTTAGAAGAGACCGGAGAAAATGAAGACCTACCCTACATTGTCTGTTAAAAATTACAAAATTAAAAAGTATTCTAAATATGTCCTACTTATTTCCAAAGCTTGCCAATTTATTCAGCATAGAACATATTTACCTAATTAATTTCCTAACAAAATCAGCTTGATGGTTATATGAATAGATTATAAAGTATCCTATAACAAAAAGAAGCATTTTATTAACACAAAAATATATTTTGAAAGACTTCCTAACATGACAACTACTGTGCATCTACTTAACAAATGTGTTATGAGAGCCATTTATGAATCTAATAACCACAGAATGCTTGTAACAGTAAATCAGGTTTCTTTATGTACACCCACTACATATATGATGAAAATATCCCCAGGAAGTTCTTATGAAATTATCACAATATTTGCATAGGTTGGCACACAGGTAAGCCATAAAGAAGAAAAATAGAGCCTGATGCATGTGCTAAGTGGGGATCTTTCAGTGTCTGAAACATTCGTCCTTTAATATCCGAGCATATACGTGTATCTATAACGTAACAAATAATGAAAATCACCCTTTTGATCTACAGAGTACAATTCTAATTATGAATTGTAAGGCCTCAAAGTTAGCAGCTTCTTTCTATAAACTTTCTCCTTCAAAATTTCCCCACAGATAAACATCATATAAATTGAAGTCTGAACAAAACTTCACATTTAAAGACCTCTTCTGATTATTATAAAGGCATATGGGGGAGTGGATCTATACATCCATTCCCATACATGCCTTCAGGCTTAGTGCTTAATTAATTAGGCACAGGGATATTTTTACCTTTTTTTTTCAACTCATAGATCCTGAACTAAATTTTCTGCAGTGCAGTGAATACTGTCTGGCTGAAAGTATTGACAAATACCCTTTCTTCCTCTGTTTAACATTTAAAGAAGAACTACAAACTATTATTTACATACTGGTGTCAGTTTACTGTGCCAAAACAATTTTAGTATTTTCATTCTCTGCAAATGCTTGCAGCAGAATTTTTGATTCTCTGTAAAAGCTTAAAGCAGAAATTTTATAGCAATTTTTCAAATCTGGAAATGTCACAAGTAAAAATCCAGATTGGAAGTGTAAAAATAGACACTTTGGCACAGGATTGCTTTTTATTAAAGTTGTTATTATTATTATTATTATTATTAGTAGTAGTAGTAGTAGTAGTAGTAGTAGCAGCAGCAGTAGTAGTCTGTGGTGGCCATAAGCATCAGTGATTTGTGCCCGAGTACATAAGAAAGTTGGACAGCACTGCTTTGGCATGTGTCAAAATTTATTACATCAGTGGTTAATATGTGTGGACATCACATAACACTATTTTATCATCTGGTGAAAAATCACATTCTGTATAGGTAAGTGTTTCAAGTGGGCAGATTCTCTCTCAGCATATGTGGCAGACTCTATTTTCAGTCTGTATGTTTATCTGCATGTCAACCAGTGTCCAAGGCTGGAGGTGCTCCGTATAAAGCATCAAGATTTTTTCATGGTTTATTTAATGAACATGTCAGGACAGTTGGTGACTTGGCTGAGATTCAAATTGGGAACCTCCAGAATAGAAATCAGAAGCATTACCACTTGAACCAACCTGCGATATCAATTGGAATCCCTGTTCTTACCTTATAGCTTATTTAACTATTCTTGGCAAATTTTGAGCCACTTCTGAGGTTATATTGTGTAGAATGAACTGTAGACTGATTAAAAATTGCAAGGTTGACAAAGGGCTGATTATGTATGTGTTTAAAAGTGTATCCTGGGAATTACTTTTAGAAGTTGACCCCTCAGGATCACCAAAGTCATGCAGAAAATGAAGAATATAAATGAGGAGCATAATATCTGCTGTTTGGCTGGATGATAATAAGTATTATGAATATGTAGAAGAAGTCATTAAATTTCACACCTTGTTATTCATATACTGGAGTTGAAAAGCACAATGCTCTATTCCCAAACTAGATGTTTTCAGGGACTGTTTCTTTAAAAATAATATAAGAGGCTTATGTAATAAGTGAATGGAGCTGAACATTCCACCAGGGCCAAACACAGGACCAACTTCAATTAAGCTAAAGTTAACATCTCTGCATCATTAGGGAAGCCACTGAAATTATCAAACTTTTCCATGAAATAAACTGTTAACATGGACAAAAACTTAGCAAAATATGGTATCACTTCTTTTCCTGTAACCCTTCTTCTTAACTACATGGTTTGGCCCCTTCCCATTGAATATCACCGTGCTCCATACCCCACCATTATTTTCACCATAAGACTTATTAATATCAGTACAATTCTCTCTTCTAACTCATATGTAGCCTGAAGCTGGTGACTTTTGGGGTTCATTTGAAATGGTGGAAGAGATAAAGCACAGAGGCTGAGGTTATACATTGTCCACAGGCCACAAAAGCCAAAAGACCATAATTCCTGCTACACTTAATTATTACCTTCCACAAGCTGATAAGGTCAGTTGATGGATCAACAGCTATTGCACCAGTTTCATCTGTTGGCCACAAACTGTCTCCTATTTCTTGAAATCCAGTAGGGATATGGATAAGATACAAGTCAACATAGTCAAGCTGCAGAGCTTCCAGTGATTTTGTTAGGAACCTTTCAACGGATTCTGCACGATTTCCTATAGGTGGAAGCTGGAAGAGAAAGTTTCTGTTTATAGAACAGAGTGAGCTTAATGCAACTATAATAAAACCATAATAATTTACGTCTACAATGGTTCATTGGTTATAGTTCTCAAATAGAAGACTAATACAGATTTTACTTGGCCCTTACATTAGTCTTAATGAATATCTTTGTATTATTTCATGTAGTATTTTGGAGGAGACACACAGGCACACACATATATATAGTGATGACACCACAAGCTTGCAGTGGCATTCATATCAGGTTTAATGAAGATCAGTCAACAGGTACAATTATTTACACTTGGGAAGTGATATAGAGACACAAACACATGAATACTATTAATGACCCATTAGCCTTCAGGACACTAAAAAGTAAATTTATTGCATTAAGTAGGAGTTTCTTCTACAGGACTGTAATAGCTGCATATCACCTGCCTTACCATCTGATTTTTGTTAAATATTATGTAATTTGGTTTTATTCTATGACTGGTTGATCTGTAACAGAATCTGATTTTACACAGAAGTGCAAAAAATCACTTGCAAGGCAAATATTTACCCCTCCCCCTCATTTAATACAGCAGTGTGGAAAACTGTATTTCATATACTTATATTTTTCAAAGTAAAAGAACTATACCTGATGTCAAGGAAATTTGATATGATGATGAGCTGGATTCATCTTGCTCAGAGTAAGTATAATGATGGGTTAATGATGTTACAGAGTAGAACAGAGCAATGATTTACTGGATGGTTATGGCAGTGAATAAGTTCATTTCTCTGTATTACCTACCTTCGTCACAATGAAGATGTCCTCTCTCTTGAGTTTGCCTGAGGCAAACCACTTCTTCAGAGTTTTTCCAATCGCTGCTTCATTCTGGTACATGTAGGCTGTATCAATATGCCTGTACCCCAGCTCCAAGGCAACATCAACTGCAGCAGTAACTTCTTCAGGTGCAGACTGAAAGTCAAAAGCAATTATGCAAACACTGTCTCCTCCTACTCGCCCTCCTTCATCCTCGTTATGTGGGAGCAGGAAAATATGTTGGAGTATCTCAGTTCTCAAACTAGACTATATCCACGGCTGAGAAATATCAAAAGTCATTACCATGATGGTTGCTACAGTAGGTGTTCTTTGTTATTATGAATTCCTAAAGCTCTTCAAGTAAAGAACTAAATTTAAGTAATATATGTTATAAATCGGCGCCAAATCTTTTGTCATTTTGGTTAAAGAACCACAACTGAAGGCCTAAGCATTAATGGGAGAAATGTAGTAAAATACATATATCTTAGAGAAGTGGTTACAGATGAGGTGAAATGGATTAAACTGAGCCAGGATATGGTCTAGTTGCAGGCTTCTGTAATTTTGAAAACATTATATTTCTTGACCAGCTCAGTAACTATTAACTGCTCCCTGTACCATGCAGTTCCAAAATACCAGACCTCTCTTGCTTCTTGCTGACAGGTTTATGTTGAAACATGGTACAGTAAACAATAGGGTTTATGCTGAATTTAGAGGGAAGGTGTATCTTGATGTCAATGCAGCAGTGTATAAATTGTGTATGAAAAATTTATGTTGCCTTCTTCCACTAATCATTCCATGATATTGAATTATTTATCAGGCAGCAAGCATGACTGGCAGACAGTACATAATCTCAGTTCCTGCTTGTGGCTTCACCTCTGACATGACCTGCAACTTGTCTGTGACCAACTTCTTGTTGCTTTGAGCCAATTGATAATGCACCAGCCATTCTGCCATCTTTGTTTCAGTCAGAACTGGCAAACATAAGCTGAGAGAGACCGTAGTGAAGGTATGAACATAGTACATCTACTTTGTATTGTTTTGTGCGCTGCTAAATACAGTACATGAAGTTTGTGTTGTTAGAAGCCACATATTTATGGATGGCAGAGGCTGGCCCATATTTAGTTTATTTGGTATATGGTGAATCTGAATTCAACATTTTCTGTATGGCATGGAAAAATGTATATCTTAAATTTCCTCCTTAAAATCAAAATATACATATTACACAATGGGGACAGTGAAAGTAAATCATGTATGTTTTCAATTTAAGACACTGTAAGTACTTTTCAGTGGATCAGTAGGTTTTTTAATAGTTTCTGTGACTGAAATTTTGTGTTTCAGTCAACGTTTTCAGCAAATTATTTCTTCCTGAGCCTATCAATTGCAGAAAACATATTTTTTTTTCCTGTTTTTCAAATTAACTGATGTTTGCATGGTAACTATTTCTGATGAGACCCGTCAGATTTGCATTCTGTAGCATTATTGTTCTCCAGAAGAGAACTCTGGAACATAACACTGTGTAATCCGTTGAAAGTCAACCGATATTTCAGAGGAACATGTTGCTTCCATCTTCAGGGTTGAAGAATAAGCCAGGCAGGAAACCAACATGAAGTAAGTAGCAAACAGAGCTCTTTAATCACCACTGTGAGAACATCAGATCCTACATTATTATGCTCCATTCTCTGCCCATCTGATTCAAGTTCTCTTCCCTTCAAATTTTTCAACCAAAATTTTGTATATCTTTCTGATGACTCTCATGTGTGCTATATGTCCCACTCATCACATCCTCTTTGACTTCTTCATCCTGATAATGATGATAATGAGAATGTTTCAAAAGAACACACTGCTTCCATCTTCATCCCTTAAGATGGAGGCAACATGTTCGTCCAAAATGTTGGTAACCAATTAGTAGGCTAGATGGTGTGATAATCCAAAAGACCAAAATATATAATCTGATTTCTAGGTTATGAGAAAATGCATGGGCACACCTTTTGCAAATCTTTATTTTCTAAGTGTAGCTAATGTTAGAATTCCAAAATGTTGTTAGAGTGACTCACCTGCCAGGTTCCAAGGCCTACAATGGGCATCTTCTGTCCATTGTGAAATGTAACACTGCTCAGTTGTTTAGGCATTATGACAGCAGTAGCTCCGTTGGAAGCACAAGACAGACTGTGGGCTGCATTTCTCCTGCAGCATTTCTATACAAAATATGCTCTTACATTACAAAGCAAAATCTTATCAAAGTCTGATAACACCGAAGTTGGAATTACCTAACACTTAATTTTGTTACACAACTGCCAAAAAGATAAACATGAGCACTATGAACCAAAAGGACAGCCAGAATATAGCAGGAGAATTCTGCTTATGCTATACCTGTCACATCTGTCATTGATAACGAATCAATGAAGTCTTGGGATGACCCAACACTGTGATTGTCACAATCTGCTAAAATGTAAGATAGGCCATAAGTTCATATTATCATATTTATTTTTGTAATGAAGGGGAAAGAAAGCAAAAATCCATAAAGTGAGGTCTTATCATCAGAAACGCATTTTTATTTTATATTAACAGAGCCCTAACACAAAATTTAATTCTTAAATTGGGCTGTATGCAAAGTAAAAGGAAAATTTGTACCCACACACTGAAGCAGAAATCTTCTACCTGCCTATATTTATAGCTTTTCTCATTCCTGAAACTGATTAATAAAGAATTGTGCTGTGTCATAACTCCAAACTACACTGTGTAACTCCTGAACAAAGGCTGACAAGTCTTTATGCATTGTAACCTTCATTACTTTGAATTTCAACTGCCCTCAATCTGCAAGATTTGAATGCATGAAGTATTTATAAGTAGTATAAGTATGTACTTCCAAGACATAAAATTTTATTTGTCTGAATCTAATAGAACTGTATTGGTGACAGCATTTCCCACACTGCTGATCTCTGTATGTCAATTTCTGCTTGCTATATTACAGAGACTTTTACAATTTTATATCATGCTACAATCAAGATTTCTTACATTGTTTTCTTCAAGATCTGAAATTAATTTGTTTCAATTAACTTTACCTAGTTATTGTATAGAAATGTACACATTTCTCTTCGTATGCAGTTCAACTGTTGGGGTACACTACTGCATTCAAACATGTTCCACACTGTGACACTAGGATCATAGCACTATTCCCGAAAGTATATCAGGACACATTAAATCGAGCATCATGTTGCAAACTACTCAAACCAGTATAAAGAGTGTAACTTTCTCTAAATTACACAGGGACTTTCACAGCCCCAACCCCAAGGACAGCAGATCTGTCAGTGGGTCAACAATCTACTTTCTCCTGGAGACACATTAGAACTGTTATGCATGACTGTTTTGTTTGATATTACAGTACACGATCATAACATAACAGAAGCCAATAAATAACATACCATTTATTCTTCAGAAAGTATACTTCTACCCACTGTTTTGTATATGGGTGAAATATCTTCTGACTCTGAGGAAGTTACGTAAGAAGTTGTATAAATATGGATCCATATCATGACAATTCTTATCACTTGAGTTATAGATTATAGGTGGTGGGGTCAAGAATTTTAACTTTTCTGTCATCTAAACCGGCTCTGGGGTCCACCCAGCCTCCTATCCAATGGGTACCGGGTGCTCTTTCCCCGGGGGTAAAGCAGCCGGGGCGTGAAACTGGCCACTCATCTCCAACTAGTGCCAAGGTCAAGAAAACGTGGATCCATACATCCACTCTCCTGTACATCTTCATTGCGCAGTGCTTAATTACTTAAACACAGGGATAAGTTTACCTTTTTTACCCAAATCTATGTTTACTTAACAATCTGGCTTCACCATAACATGGAATGTTACGAAGTGGGCCTGTCATGTAAATGGAAGGCCACTGAGTCACCATCACTGCACATGTGACATGTTTCATGCAAGAATTATTTTAATATTCCTGGACTTGTAGAATGAAATGGAGGGATTTGGTGATGAACGAGGATCTTGCAGGTTCTATAAAGAGAGAACTTCTTGAACAACTGAATACTCAATAGTGATGGCCATGCACTATGAATATATTTACAAGGAAGCAATTAAGTTTGGCATTTATCCTGTTTAGCCAAAGAACGATGCATTCCCCATAGTTTCAAATTATAAGCTATGTGGTCTGAAAAAACTGACTTGAAACGAAGCACATGATTTCACGTCAGAGGTCTGCACTGTTACGGTGTTCTTTGTTTCAGTACATTTTGGACATTCACTATAACATTTTGCAAGTGGACACCGACAAAAGTTAACATTTGACATTCTTTACATAGGCGGCAGAATGCAGTGCAATGAGCACTGAATGATAATCACACACCTTTAGTGCGTTCAGTCTACCTATTAGTTTCATCACGTCCATCTGTATGTCTGCAATATCACACTGCCTTGCCTATGTTAACCAAACTGCGTTTCACAGACCAATACAAAATTTTATAAAGATTTTATTTTATTCTGGTCTAGTTTCTCATTTTTAAGGGACGTGTTACTGCATGCATTAGCATTTACGTGTAACTGTGGTTCTCTGACAGATTTTGATGAGATTTTATCCATGTTCATATATTAGTGTGACTGTGTACGGTTCCGTCTACGTAAGTTGATTTTAAGCCCCTCATTACTGATACACTTGAACATATTTTGCAGTGTTTACAACAAGTACTCAGATGAGAAAATGAGTTACTGTATAAAGGTCACAAGGATGAATGGACTATACACACAACTATTATACAGGATGATTCATATAGAACCGGCCCGACGAAATGAGATGTAATATAAAATATACCATTCAGATATTAAAGTAATTTACACATATCTTATCTTGGATTGTGTGCCGTGATCAGAGCAGGTGTTGAAAGTGTCCGCCGTTTTCAAGTAGGCATTAGAAACACTCGCTGTTCAAAAGGGTGCTCCATGACCCTCCATGACTGTCGCCTGCCCACTGCAGACACGTTTCGGCATTGTCCTTGACGGTCCTTGAACTTGCCGCATAAGGGCTGCCACTTGCCGGATCATGCGCACACCATTCGACTCAGCACGGCCCACGGATTAATATGTCGTAATTGTGAGCGGTTATATGCATCACCTGCGGAATTATTAGCAAATTCATCGGGCCGGTTCTATACGATTCACTCTGTATAACGTTTGCAAGTAACACGTCATTTCGAGAAAATCACTAGCATTAAAACGATAAAAGTATTTAATTGAGCACCATCAAAATTCTTGTCCCAAGTCCTGTTATCGCCATGAACTTGATAATCTTGTCACTTTACAGCCATTGCCAATATACCAACATCTTGTAAGTTAGCAAAAGCATTCTTAAACGGTTTAAACGTGTTTGTGAGCAAATATTTTGCCTGCCCCTCCCCTTGGAAAATCTTTTGGGGGGTTGTTATATTTACAACACGCTGACGTCACGCATAAGCAAAATAGCATGTTTAATGTTGACCTGATAAAAACTGTTATCCAGTCACTACATATGACAACTCTGTTCTGTAAAAAACTCTGCGAAATCCAAAGGAATGATAACACGATGCAATCTGGCAGAATCTTCTAAGGTGAGCTACGCCCCTAAAAACGACTGTTTCGCCCACATGAATATCAAGAAACGATAATAAAAAGCGGAAATTATAGTACGGAAATGCAATCAGGCAGTTCTTATTGGAGATATTCAAAATGTCGGCCCTTAGTGCCCAGAGAAAAGACTTGCAGGTACATTATTCTGGGACACGCTGTATATGTATGTACTATAATGTATTTACGTTCATACTGAATTGAACTGAGCTGAGTGTAAACCGGTAGTTGCGTAGCTAAAAATTATTTAAATTACCAAATTTTTAAAAATCAGCACAGTGAAAATGAAAAGACCGACAGACAAACACGAAGAAACTAACAGGCATGTAGGAATTGTCAAGGAAGATTGCGAATTACTGTAACAATGTTTTCAGTTTCGGAGATGCACCGTTCTTTGTTTCACCCGCTCGCCACGTTGAGGCACAGGATATGAGCGGGGACCTGAAACAAAAGAAACAAACAAAAGAAAAACTTCAGTATGAACACCAGCAAACAGAATTTGTATTAACAGAATGAACACACAAGCTTACCTCTGCTGCTGGTACTCTTGTCATCTCTTCTGTAACACATCTTCTTTTAAAAATAAAATTCTTCAGACAATATGCTGTACGTTTCAATATCTTCGATCGTGGAAGGCGGATGTCATGATTAAACTGAAACGCCGTTTGGTGTAGAAATAAAAGCAACGAAACAAAACTTTCCGTTTTCATTCAAGTCTTGAGCACTCGTCGAAAAAAAAAAAAAACCCCGACGGATTCTCTCGAAAAATCGACTCACATTTATCACGTTAGAAAGGCGGCGTCATAGCTCAAGAAGTTAGTCCCTGGGGCGGGTTTTCTCCGAATACTTCGGTTTCCCCTGCCAATTTTTATTCTACCAAATTCTCCATCATAATCACCCGGGGCAAGCTACAATAGGCCAATCAGTGGCCGCCGTGACGAGTGGACCCAGTTGGACTCCACCCCCACTAAGCGAATTAAAAAAAAATCGCGTTAGAAAAAGGCTCCTTTCAACACGAAACGAAAACACAAGAACACGGTGCAATGGGAAATGTTCCGGCGCATGGAAAGAATACGTCATCATAAAATGAAATTTTATCATGTGTCGCACAGCCTGGCGGCTATTTACACAACTAGCCAACGTTAATATACGCAATTTAAACCGAATACAACATATTCTTTTCCACAGAGAAATGACTGTTTACGGCAATTAAGTTTTTTGACGCGTAAAATCCAAACTCCGACAACAATCGGCGACGTGACATATAATCGTAGAGAAGTAACGATGTAAAACCCTTATATTATCATCTCACCTGATGAGTTTCATTCTGATGACAAACGTTGTCTTCTCCGTTGCTGAAGCTGCAGCAATTTTGACTTACCTTGTGCAGTTCTTCATGATGACAATCGATGTCTTCTTTTATGCAGATGCTGGAGCACATTTTATTGACTCACCTTATGCGTTTCCTCATTTTAACATTTTATAAATTGAATACACAGCACAATACACATAAAGAAATATATGTCATCAAATTGAATATGCAGCACAATACACACAAACAAACATAATATGTCATCATAAATTCTAATGTCAGATTTATATATACGTGGTACATGGAGATCCAGTTCCTTATCTTTCAACATCGAATTGAAAGAGGGATGAAAGCAAAATGAAGTTTTGCT